GCAATTCCTCTCCACTCTCCACTCATGGCTCATGCAGCTCAACCCCACCCACCCTCCCCTGCACACTGTGTACCGCTGCTTCTGGAGACTGGACACCAGCTCTGACTGCTGGGACCAGATCTTCCTGGAGCAGTAGGATGACCAGCAGTGACTCCAGAATTTCCACATGTGGAAGGACATCTTCCTGGAGCTGTGTGAGTGGCTCACTCCTGTCCTCCAGCAATGGGACACCCATTGGAGACCCACCATCCCCCTCCAGAAGTGGATTGTCATTGCCATCTGGAAGCTTGCTGTGCCAGACAGCTATAGATCCATCAGGAACCAGTTGGGCATGGGGAGATCAACCATTGGGCACACGGTTATGCCGGTATGGTGCTGTCATTCTATTGCCCCAGGAGGTTGGTGAACAGAACTGCTGGAATGGGGTTCCTAAGGAAGGAGATGGTGGTGATAGAAGCCTCCTCCCCAGAAGTTTTTTCAGTCCCGCCTTCACAAAGCCCTGATGGGGGATGGGGCAAGTCGAGATTGAGACTGGACACCAGCTCTGACTGCTGGGACCAGATCTTCCTGGAGCAGTAGGATGACCAGCAGTGACTCCAGAATTTCCACATGTGGAAGGACATCTTCCTGGAGCTGTGTGAGTGGCTCACTCCTGTCCTCCAGCAATGGGACACCCATTGGAGACCCACCATCCCCCTCCAGAAGTGGATTGTCATTGCCATCTGGAAGCTTGCTGTGCCAGACAGCTATAGATCCATCAGGAACCAGTTGGGCATGGGGAGATCAACCATTGGGCACACGGTTATGCCGGTATGGTGCTGTCATTCTATTGCCCCAGGAGGTTGGTGAACAGAACTGCTGGAATGGGGTTCCTAAGGAAGGAGATGGTGGTGATAGAAGCCTCCTCCCCAGAAGTTTTTTCAGTCCCGCCTTCACAAAGCCCTGATGGGGGATGGGGCAAGTAGGGGGTTGGTCATGGTGTGACTGAGATGGGGGTTGCCCTTGGGGACCTCCCAAGGGCTCTGGCAACACTGTGGGACCTCCTGAGGGCCTGGCAACCTTGTGATTCTACAGGTGGCGAGGGTCATCAACACCACCTTGCTTGCAGAGTCATCAGCCTGGGTGATGTGGACCCCATCATCACCAGCTTTGTGGCTATGGGCTTCCCCAACTGTGGAAGGGGGGCTATTGATGGTACCCATATCCTCATCTGGGCCCCTGATCACGAGGCATCCGAATATATTAACCGCAAGAGGTCATTTTTAATGGTCCTGCGGGCCCTCATTGACCACTGTGGCTAAGTTCACCAACATCTACATCAGAAGGTGCACAACACACATGTCTTCTGAAACTCCAGCCCATTCCAAAAGATGCCCACCATCACTTTTTCCCCCGACCGCGCTACCAGTGTTGGAGACGTGGACGTGCCAGTCTGTATTGTCGGCCTATCCCCTGTCTTATGAAGGCCTACACTGGACATCTTGACCCCACCAAGGAACACTTTAATGCTAGGCTCAGCAGGGCCTACATTGTGGTGGAGGGAGCCCTCAGGAATCTCAAGGGGAGGTTCTGTTGCCTCCTCACCTGGCTGGATCTTGGTGAGCAGGACATCCCCTAGGTGGTGGCAGCATGTTGTGTCCTTCACCTATCCCCTGTCTTATGAAGGCCTACACTGGACATCTTGACCCCACCAAGGAACACTTTAATGCTAGGCTCAGCAGGGCCTACATTGTGGTGGAGGGAGCCCTCAGGAATCTCAAGGGGAGGTTCTGTTGCCTCCTCACCTGGCTGGATCTTGGTGAGCAGGACATCCCCTAGGTGGTGGCAGCATGTTGTGTCCTTCACAATATTTGTGAAAACAAGGGGGAAATGTTCCTGTCAGAGTGGGGTGGCGGGCAGAGACTGACTGAATCAGGAGGGCCTTTGCAAAGCTGCTAGACAGCAGGCCCATCAGGGGCCTGTGCACAT